AACGAAACGCAGTTTTTATTGGCGTGTTGTTGAGTTTGGCCTTGAAGGGTTGGCTCAGAACAGGGTGCAGCTACAGAGAAAGGGCTGAAAAAACACATTTTTACACTTGGCTGCAGTCCACCGAGGCAGTTCGGAGACGTCCGCGCCCTCTTTTCATTCTTTCGCTTTCTCCTTCACTTCGGTACTTTCCAGCTGAAAGTGTGCGACGGTGAGTATCTGGCTTCTGCGCAATAAACCTCTCGATCCGTTTAAACTAAAACCTACCTTTTATCTAAGCTAGTCAAATGTGTTAAACATTCATGGATTAGGTTTCGCCAGCACAGAGTAACTTTTGTTGACTGGTCGCGTGTTATGTCGCTCGTGCTGCGTTTCACGTTATAAAAAGGACGCAGAAACGTCAAATGTTTGACATTTTCTTCATTTATACTGGCCTACCCGGTAAAGTAAGTTCTGAATAACGTTAGAATAGAAATCTATGATGTTTACACTGTCTGTGGATTATAGACTCCACGCAGTGCCGTGCACAAGTAGTTCATGAACTACATCCCCTCACCCCACCCCCAACATGATACAATGACATTCATAAACTTTTTTCTTTGTTTTTTTGTAGAACTTACGAAACACATTTTTCAAAGAAAATGTAAAGCTATTTCAGCACATTGAAGATTGTAAATTCTACAGACGTGTGCAGATATAAAGCTTATTGTTTCTGAAGCAGGTAAATTATTTAAGTGGCATAATACTGGCCATTGTTTGTCTTTGTCTCCCTCTGCTGCAGTGACGGTTTAACAGCAATTTATAGATTTTACCATAGCTTGCCCACAGCCATCAACATTTATTGCTCATTGCAAAGTACGATTTTTTATAGTCCTGATAAAACCAAAAAAACCCCCAAAATGTTAAGATAGTTATTAGTTATTTAGTTATTTAGTGACATTACTATTTTCCACAAAATTGTGTCTCTGAGAGTGGTTAGGCCAGCAGTTGTGTTTTCAGTAAAACCGGCACCAGAGGCTTCATAGGGAATTTGTATGCATCATTATATGCATCTCCATAATTACTGTGCCAATAAATACCAATGGAATGGTGATTAACATGTTAATATTAATTCAGTAGTCATATTTTGATTTCTTAATAAAATCTATATATATATATATTTTATCTTATATGTTTTGAAGACACTTCCAATAACATTCCTTTTGCTTTAACCAGAGTCTGACTGATTATAGATTTTGGTGACTGATGGCAAAGCCAAAACTAATTTTTAGGGAGTACAAAACTCTGATATCAATACACTGCATTTGCTAAAACTTTAAACTTCAGAACTACTAAATATGTTATTAAATATAATACTGCTAACTCTACTAACAGTTGGGATCACTTAGAAATGTCCTTGTTATAATGAAAGCACAAAGGATTGTTCCAAATTACAGCTATGAACCAATGTGATAATAAAATGAGTCATTAATGATTTTGATGGAATACTTATGTAAGGTTAAAGGACAGTTTTCAGCAAAAAATTACTGTTATCTCATTATTCTGAGACTTTCATGTTAAAGTATTTTCTTTCTAAAATTTATATCACTCGTTCTCAGTCAGTGCATATGATTTGGATTTACTGTAAAAAGTGTGTTGCTTTTCTCTTTGTATGATCCTCTAATGTAACATTTTTTTTATAGATCTTGGTAGGAACCATGGCCAGTAAATTAGATATTCGTCTTCAAGGATCCTCACTTAACATTGTGCGACAGTGTGGGCATGTTCTGACTAACATCCTTTATAGCAAATTTGGATGTGTAGCAATTATCGAAGGCATGGATTTTGAGAGTGATATGAGCTTTGTACAACAGAAGAGGCAGTCTGTTGCCCAAGAGAAGAGGTTTTCTGTCAAGCTGCCTGCAGGTATTGAGGTGTCCGTATGGAAGGCTGATCTCACCACTTTAAAAGTGGATGCTGTTGTGAATGCTGCCAACTGCCATCTTCAGCATGCTGGTGGACTTGCTTATGCTCTGTGTGAAGCTGGTGGTCCTCAAATCCAAAAGGAAAGTGATATTCACATCACCACACATGGTGCCTTAAAAACAGGTGAAGCAGTTATCACTACTTCTGGCTCTTTACCATGCAATGTCATAATTCATGCAGTGGGCCCACGTTTGTCATATGGTTTCACACAGTCAGAATTTTTTGATGCTAAAGTACTGTTGGAGAAGACCATCTGTAGGATTCTGCAAAGAGTTGAGGAAAATTGTCTGGACACTGTTGCTATTCCTGCTATAAGCTCTGGGTTGTTCAACTACCCCCTGCAAGATTGTGCCGATACTATAGTGTCAACTGTGAAACACTACTATGAACGTGTTCACTCCCTCAACCATCTTCCTAAAGAGATACTCTTTGCTAACAATGATGACCAAACAGTCACAGAAATGATGAAGGCCTGCAATAAGATTCTGGCCCCTCACCAGTTAATGCCACACAGCCTTGCAGCACAAAGCAAAGGTACTGCCAAAACATCAGACATTGCCACCCAGATTTGGAGCGTTAATCTAACACTGAAGAGGGATAACATTGAAAATCAGAAGGTAAGAATCTTACTGTTTCTTTATTATGTTTTAACTTCAGTGTTTTCTGAGTTCTTTTTACTCATATTATATTAATTATATTAATTATTAGTGTATATTTTTATTGTTGGAGATGCAAAAAACAAGCCAAAAAGAAAAAAATAAAGGAAACAAACCAGAATGAAAGCACATAAACGTCATAAGAAAACTAAAAAAAAATAAAATAAAATAATACAACTATATCAAAATACAACTAAAAATAGAAAGAACATTATACCGTAATAGTAAACTGGTGCATGAATGTTATGTTTATAAGCTCCAATTAAACATTTTTAGGGCTTCTGAGCATACGTACACTAATGATGTACTATATATTTTTGTTCTAAAACTCTTATTTATAATCCTTTGTCACCTTTCAGGTGGATGTCATTGTAAACACAGCATCACCTGACAAAGACTTGACCAAGGGTCAGATCTCTGCTGCTTTGCTGAACAAAGCTGGTCGCAAAATGCAACATGAAATACGAAGTGCTCCTCAGAGGAATCACATTATCATCACACAAGGTTACAATCTGTGGTGTAAAGAGGTGTTTCACACTTTCTGTGTTGCTAAAGAACGACAGGCATCGCAAGAGGTACATTATAATTGAACATTATATTATAAAATAGAAAAAACAGAATTCATATCCTTGTCTTTTCATTTCTTTTTTCATAACAGGTCCTTTTTGATTCAGTATTGCAATGTTTAAAGATGGCAGCTACAAATGGCCACAAGTCCATCGCCTTTCCTGCAATCGGCAGTGGAAACCTTGGGTTCAATAAAAGAGAAGTTGCACACATCATGTCAGATGCTGTGGTTGAGTTTGCCAAAATGTTTACAGGGAAGATGGAAATTTATTTTGTCATATTTCCTTCAGACTCTGTCACATTTCAGGTTAGATTTAAAAAATCTTGCCTTGATTTTAAAATAATACCAACTCCAATCTGTAAGGATTAAATATATTTATTAATGACTACTTCTTTTCAGGCTTTTGAGGATAAAATAAGATCTTTCCAACAGAAGGCACCCCATTCCAGCTTTACACCTGGTAATGGCAAAATATTTCAGTTTTGTCAGACACTTTATTTACACACAGACAGACAACAGATACAATGAGTTTTTAAGATGAAGCAACCTTTGGTTTTTGTTTTTTAATTTTCCTTGTGGTGACTTTATTGTGATTCTTTATTGAAGCTCAATAGTTCACAAAATGGTTAAATGATCATTATCACACTCCCCAAGTGTTTTCACTCTGCTTCCAATTACTGAAATAACTGCGCTAAAATCATGTGTTACTATACAAGCTCAAAATTCTGAAACACTTGTTTCATTTATAAACTGCCTACTTGGAAGATTGAAAACTATTTTAAAAACTGTTCTATTGTAGCTGTGTGGGTGAAATTATATAATAACCATTGTTAACAACTCTGAAATTGATTTTTAAATGTTATGCAATAATTATGTAAAGTTTGTAAACAGCATTTACTAATTCATTTGTATTTGGTTTGTAGAACATTATCTAAATTATTATTGTAAATTGCAGCTGATGCCCTCCCACCTTCCTTACCCTGGTCACTGCCTCCATCATCTCTGGTCAATGCCAGCTGGGAGACATAAATTCTCCAGCATGTTCTTGTTCTTCCCTGGGATCTACTCCAGGGAGGTCATGTATGAACCATATCATCTAAGAGGCATCCAGAGGTCACTGTAGTCAGATCCTCGAACCAACTCAGCCAGTTCTTTTCTATGCAAAAAGCAGTTTCTCCAAACTGAACTTCTCCTGTATGACTGGGCTTCTCATCCTTTCTCTTTGGGAGAGCCCAGAAACCTTCACCATCTTACTCTTTAACTCACGCAGAGTTTGTGGCCATAGGTGAGGTATGGAGCGTAGATCTACCAAATCTGTAGTTTAGCCTTCAAGCTTTATTACAAATAGTATTTATATCAAAGGTGTAATTCACAATTCTTGTTTTAAAGAGCAAATAGGTGGAATGGCACTGGCATATATCACAAAACTGTGGACCCACAAAGTGCCATTTATTCCTGGGTTTTGCTACCGCTATTTCATTTTATAAAATTTACTTTGACTTGTCCTGCTGTTCGTTAGATTCAGGCACCAAAATTAGTTGACAGGAAGACCATTCTTACTATTAATGCCACAGTTCAGAAAGAGCCAGCACTAAAAAGAAAAAGTATGCATATCCTCAGATAGTAGTGACTCTAACTAAATGGCAGTTTTGATACTCTGGGGAGTAGAATAGTGATCAGTAAAGAAACCTTTCTTGCAAACTGTCTCTTATCAGCTATGATACCAAACAATGTCATATCACACATAATTAATAGACTAATTAAACTGTATTATACAAACTAATGGCATAAATGTACATACATCAGTTGTAACATGATTTGCAAACTTATATAGAATATCTCATTGTTAACAGCAAAAATTAGTATTTGCTTAAGTTTAAGGAACTTTTAAGTTATTTTTATTCATAAAGTTTAACGCTACGTAGAAAGTGTTAAAGATAAGTAAGATAGCGGTCTTTCAGTAGTGATAATGTCTCCTTGTAATCTCCACTAGCTCTGATGGAAAAAGAAGACCTCAGTTTTAACAGAGGTCCAGCTCCACACATCAGTCTGAGTGCTCCATCTGAAGAGTCTGCAAGTGAGGCTGAAAAATGGCTTACACATCTTCTCTACAAGTCCTCTCCCTGTGTTACTATCTGTAACAACTTCATCCAGCACCTCAGTGAGAAGCAATACCTGCAGCTCTCTCGCCTAACCAGAAAGGGTGTTAAGTTTGAGGAGTTTTTGACCAAGGGTCACACCTGCCTAAAGGTTGATGGGGATTCGGTTGAGGATGCTGTAGTTGCTGCATTACAGGTGGAGGCCATGCTCTGCATTGTCCAGAAGGAGTTTGTCACAGAGGAGGAGAACGAAATGTGCAAACTGTTAGCTAACGAAGTGCCTCTTAAAAGAGAAAAAAAGACAAAGACGGTGGACAACTCAAGCTGGGACTTCAAAGACAGAATACCTGCTTTCAGAAATCTTGGTCTGTGGATATTAAAGGTACAGTGTGTTTATTAAACCAGGCCTAAAGCTGTAATGAAGCTTTAGGATTTAGTTTCTGATCACAGTTTGATTTCTTACGTTATATAAATAAGCTTTATGCCTTATATCAAAATGAAACACTTTTAGGTTGACAAAGTTGAGAACCCTGCACTGGAGCTGCTGTTTGATCTCAAGAAAAAACAGTTGGGGTGCTCCTCGTCTGAGAAAATGTTTCAGCGCATACCTGCACAGTTCTGCGAGATGGTTAGCCAAATTGGCTTCCATGCAGAGTGTGCACCACCAGAAGGTATGATAATGCTTTTTATATGCATAACATCAAAGGTACACTGGATTAAATAATTAAGTCATGTACAAATAATACTTTTTTTTTTGTTTTTAAATCTCTTTCTGGATCCAGACCCACAATGCGGAGAGGGTATCTACTTTGCTAAGAATGTGAAGAAGGCCATGGAAGTTTGGAGGGAGAATAACGATCAGTATCTGTACTTTGTTGAAGCTGATGTGCTGACAGGGAAGTCCATAAAGGGTAAACCAGGTCTCATTCTGCCACCTGCTGTAGGGAAAGATCCCCAAGTTAGGTTTGACAGTGTGAATGGAGGGTCTGATATCTCAGTCATATTTAGTAGTTATCAAGCCCTGCCCAGGTACATCATCACCTGTAGAAACCCGAAGAAACTAACTGAAGGGTATCTTTAATGAGCATATTTACTATTAGAAAGAAATAACTGTTTTTGTCAGTCATAGACTCAATATAATGATTATTAGTAGCAAAATATGAAGGGATGACTGGGCTTATTTTTCTCATAATGTATTGCTGAGTAATGGAAGCAACAAGTTATTAAAATGTATTTTATTATAGCAATACTGCAAGGAGAGGAACCAATCATATGTTAATAAATCAAGATTGAGCTTAAAAATGTGCGTTTTATATCAACAACATTGTAGTTTTTACATTGAAAGGGTTCATTTGTTTAGTGGCATCTCATGACTCCATAAATTTAGACATGATTATAACAGCAAATACCGCAATAAATATGAAAAGACTTTAATCTAGCTTTGCTAGTCCATAAAATAATAATGGTGGTGGTGAACTCCATGATGAATGGGAGAATGAGTCATAATGGACATGAGTAGTTAGTTTTCCTGATGTTGATGTCAAAATAAAATTAAAAATTGTTGTTTGTTTGAGGAATCTGGACTTATTTTATGTTTTGTTTTTATATTTTTGTTGTAACAACATTTACTGAAATATGGAAAAACAACTATTAAACACAGCAAAGCTTTAAGTGTGTCCAGATTTTTTTTTTACTTAAAGCTCAATAACAAAACCTGATCAACTACACAAATTTAATGAAATAAAATACAATTTAAACAACTTACAAAATGAAATACATGTATAAACATTATTCCTGTATACACGACACATGAAAAACAGAGTGAGAAGGTAATCATAACTATACAATGTCACAGTCTACTGAGCATGAAACATTTTCACCTTTGACCCTTGAAACAGTTTGACAGGAAAAACAAATAGTGTGTCTGTTTCACGAAGCTTT